TGAGTAGACCCTAAACTACACAGCTTTCATGCCGATCCCGGGAAAAAGGTTGCAACTTATAAAGCAACACAGCGAGACACATGAATGACAGCAAAACTAGCGTTCAAGGTGACATCTTTGACCGATACTGGAGGACCGTGATGTGTATAAAACAAACAAACAAACAAATATCATACATCCCTACAGATTGAACGCGATGATCAGTTTCAATTGTCGCTCCTAGCTCCGTCTGACAGATTATTCCTTCGGCTCTATCAGCACAACAGAGCACATGACACTGTAATCCGAATATATATATATATATATATATATATATATATATAGAGAGAGAGAGAGAGAGAGAGAGAGAGGCGAAATGATATGAGTGACTTTATGTGCAAGGCCTAATCGAAAAGGAAACAGAATCTCGGGCGGTGAATCGTAGAAGACAGTATCAATTATGGGGAAAAACTTACGGGCACTTGGAACGTTTTGCTATACCGACCGGTTGGTTGTTTAGGGGAACTGGCTGTTGGAATGAATCGCGCCCAATGGGAAAACTGTACCCGGGTGGTTTTTGTTCGGCCGGTTCCGATGTCTCCATGCGGACAGGCGACTGTCTACGACCTGAAGACAAATAAAAACAACTGAAGAAATGTAAAGATGATAGGAGACGAAATTGTTCACATCGTTCGATCCGACCTAATGGACTCCCTATATTAAATGGGTTACTCTACTCTATTTCTCTTCGGACGATTTCAGATAGTTTTCTCCAAAAGACGAATTCACAATCCTATTTTCAGCGGCTGCGCGGTATGATCGTTGTTCGTGATCGATACGTGTTGTCACATAACGCGATCATTACCCAAAAGCTAAGACCCTGAGAGATCAATAAAGTGAGGGACAGTTGCAGCACAAACGATTGGCACATATAAACAAACCGATGAACCATTACGTATCGGTTGGTTTCTAACTGAAATCAGTGCACATGTATGAACACTGACACCAAAATGGAAACCAATGCAGATATGGTTCAAAAACTGCGGCACTCACCCGACTGAAGGAAAAGCGTAAAAGTGAACAGTGATGTAGGAAAATTGAACACGTTTTGTGAATGGCATGTGGCAAGAATCATGGAGGAAGGATTGAAATGAAGGAATAGTGGCTGGTGCGTTGGCAACCGTGTGCCGTGTCCAAGAAAAGGATAAGATCATAGATCATAGAATCTGAGGTCTAAGGAAAGGCAGTTTCAGTTTCGATATAAACAAACATTAACTAGTTTTGGTTTCTGTTTCATGAATGTCCATTGGGATGGATTAGAGAAAAGATTGAAATATTGAGAACAGTGGCAGTGAGAAAATAGAATTCTTGTAGACCAAACTTTCAAGGACAGTGAGTAAATGCACGAGGGAAACTGTCTGCGACATTCTTGTCAACTAGTGTCTCTAACCATCGGTTACACTAACCCCATCCACGAAACCTAACGCAACTTATGTGAGTAAGTCCCCCGATGAGGGTTTTCACGTCTTGTCCATTGGATCTATTAGTTCCACAGTGATAGTAAGATTGGGAGCTAGACCTATTCAGTACTGCAGAAACACTTTAAACTTTGACGGTGCAAAACGCATACCAAACATGGTTATAATAGCACTGAAACCATCCAGAAGGGTTAGCTACTTGGATTTTCACTTAATATATATAGTGGATAGTATATATGTAAAAGAATTACAGCTGAAACCGAAAGAAAAAACGGTGTCCTTCGATGTCACATCTCTGTTTACAAACATATCGACACAACTAGCTCTGGAGGACATACGGAATCTGATGATCCTCGTCCTCCAGAAATAACACCACTATTAGTGACTGACATCATGGAGCTGCTTGAACTCTGCATGGAAACATACCTACAGTTTGACGGGAGGATAGATTTATCGACAGTTGAAAAGAACTCCAATGGGATCAACAATATCCGGCCTACTAGCTGATGCGGTGATGAAAGAATTTGCAGCCAAGGCATTTGAAGAATACCGCCCTCGCCTCTGGGTTGGATATGTGGACGACACCTTTGTGGTGCTACCGGCAGAAAGAATCCAGCAATTCCCTAAATACCCAATACCCCGATACCCTAAACAAGGTTATGCCAGGGATGGCATTTACCCGCGAGGAGGAAAACAACATAAAGCTCCCTTTCTTGGACGTCCTCATCATAAGAAAACCAGGCGGAAACACAGAAACCACTGGGTACAGAAAAGCCACAACAACAGACCAGGTGCTGAACTACGACAACAATCACTCCACGTGTCAACTTAGGAGCTGTGTGTACACTTCATTCCGCCGTGCAGACACACATTGTAGCAAAGAGGAACTCCGGTATTAGGAACGAATGCATCTGTTCCATCAAGTCCACACAAATGGATACCCCAAAAGTTTTGTCCAATCATGCCTTAGGGGAAGAAGAAAACCGAAGGATGAAGAGAAGAAAACGAAACTCTTATTACCATACATACGTGGGGTATCAAAGGCCGTTGATCGCATCCTTCGCCCTCTAGGTGTCACCAATGCCTACAAACCTACAACGACGCTGAGGTCAATTCTGTTCAACGGCAAGGACTATGTAGAACCACACGACCAATCAGGGGTGGTGTACGCAATTCCGTAACTAGACTATGACCAACGTTACGTGGGAGAGACAGGCAAACAACTGTGCACTCGCCTACACACACATGCACTATGACGCGCCGACCTGAAGTCACACCTCTGGAACTGCGCAACGACAGGTCACGAGGTCAGAGTCAATGACGCAAAAGTAGTGGCAAGGGCAAAGAGGAAGGGGGAACGTCTGATCCTTGAAGCGCTGCTTTCGATCAATTCATTCAATCGACACGTGGATTGATGGGCAAACAGGCGCGACGCAAACCACAGTGCGAGGCACAAGCAGACCCAATTCATCCACACGTATTATTGTTTGACAACGAGTCCTAGTCTGGATCGAAACGTCGTAATAAATACTATCACTCAGTGCTCGCCTTCTCCTTTTCAATATATATATATATATATATATATCACGCACGTCTGAATACAGACTGCGTGCCAAACAAATCACGGTACAATGAAAAGAAGAAGCGCCACGATTTGCTCCTGAGTACGACGCTGCTAGGTTGTCCAGGCCAGGCCCAGGTTAAATCTTTTTTGAGAATTGACTACTGGAGCCTTCGGATAATCAAAGCCAAAGCCTCCGGCGAAAAATAGCCACAAGCATAAACGATCATTCGCTTATCAGTTTTGCTGTATGCATTGCAATACGAGGAAAGCCAGAAAAGATCGATCCGGCAGTTAAGAGAAAATACAAATTAAACCTCGTGGTTTTGAGAGGCGAACGAAAATATGCAGCCATGAAGTAACGGAAAATAACATGGTAGACGGTGCAAAAAGGATGCCTGATCTGATATTAAGTGACATCAAATTATTTGGGTTCAGAAGAATCCTACTTCATTATGAATATCAAAGTGAGAATGCAAACACGATCGCGGGCAATACATATATAACACCGAATGAGAATGAGGACAAGAAACTCTCACCTCGGTGAAAATAAGTGAAACATATGTCCGTTATAAATGACAGTATTTTTCGTTTTCGCTGACGTTAATCAATCGCATTACTTACAGTTTGATTCATCGGGTGTCCGGTGGTTCACGGAGAGGGAACTGTGAGTGGTCCAATTGGATCCGAATGTTTGCAGATGACCGGGCCGATGAGAAGTGGATATGCCGTTTAAGAAACGTGGAGACCATACAACATCGTCGTTTTTCAGTAACGCGTCTAGTTTTCTCCGACGTTCGGATGAGAATTCGTTGGCCAAGTTAGACTGTAAGAGATGATTAAAAATAAATATAATCGTAACTTTAACCTCTTTATATGCTGAAAAGCGTTCTACATTACTCAGAAATTGTAATCAAATATGCCGAGAGAACTGAACAGAATAATTTCACATTTGGCTCTAAAATATGACAATCGAAGCTACCGATATTGATCAGAATAATCCGGTTAATTGATACACAATGATATCTCATACAAATACCACATTTTCATTTGCCCATACACCTAGTACGACCGTACCAGTCGTCTTACAAAAGGGTCAGGACTGACGACGATGATCAGGAAAGCCTAACTGTGAGACTGGGCCGCGTTACACTGTCAACTTGCATTGCACGACACCCGTTGTTTAGTCCTAACCATTCAGGGGATGTGCAAGCAAGTCTCCTAATCATTTACTTCTTTTCACATTCCCTATATTCGCACTTGATTGAATTAGGAAAACAGCTATAGATTTGAGTCATTCGCCCGTAATTTTAATAGAGTTCGTCAAGGCTTTCAAGTACTAAATTAACATGAACCGATCGCCTCAAATGAGATAAACCATCTGTTGGGTAGTCCAGAAACAAGGATGGAACATTCAGCAAAATATGATTATGGTATATGTTATAAAACTTTGAAATTGACCGTTGCCGCGGCGACCATGATTGCACCGCCTAACAGAAGCGAATTTCGTTGATTATACTGACCACATTCAATGAAGTGACTACTCCATCCTACCCAAAGTTTGCGGTTAAATAGACCGAACTGAATTGTCCCACATTTGTACAATTGAAACGCACACAAATGTGTACAGCGCGTCTCGACCGGATGTCCCGTATAAACAAATGGCAACACTCAGGTAAGTATCACTTAAATCACACGAATAAGTTCCTCAAATATTGATCGAAATTGTTCGTGGATCTTCGTGATTACGGTGTTCATCCCATCAAACTGAGATGGATAAAAACACGATAAATTTGCAATGAATTAAGCACAAAAATTGTGGGATGAGTGCAGAGTCCACAAGTGATTATTCCCAACACAGCTGATGTGGGATTTCTCGACAAACAGCATGGCAGAAACTGGAGCAGGTAAGCTCAGTTGGCACGATTAGCACTAGGTTGATCTGGGGAAATCAGAAGTTTCGATATGAAGATACTCTATGGCACTGGGTTACGATTGAACCGTGTGCCACGAAGAGCCAGTATTACAGTGACGACCGATCTTGAAATGATGCTTGCAGATACTTATCAATAGTTAAAAGCACCGTGAATTATGCGTTACGGCACACTGTACTGTTTGCGAGACCAGACAAGACGAGATACCATGGTTAATCCAGGTATAACGATTAACAATTCAGTAAAACACGCAAAACTTAGTTATCCATACTGAACCCCAATTAGATGGAATACGTGTCACTGAAACAGGATTTGCTCAATCTGGCTAGGTCATCCTAACTGACTACAACCCAGGATAATGTAAACCAAGTTTCATGTTGTTTGATTAGGGATTATGGGTGACAAAGAAACAGGTAGAATGCACTAAAAACTCGCAACAACGTTCACTTTTGGAAACCACAGATCCAATACAGGACGCCATAAAAATAAACAGTGACACTAAACTGAAGACCAGTAAGATGCATTAACGTGATAAATGCGTTTCGAAATCGACTAAATCTGAACTGATTATTGAATGATCGCTAAAAACGGCGTGCAATTTTCCAGGTCATACCTCTGAAACTGGATAGAGCTGATCGGGTGCGCTCCCTGTGCTTCGATCGGTGAGTAGCAGAGGTTTCCTCGGAGCAGGCAGAGGTGCTTTAGCTGCAGCTGCAGCTGCCTGAGCGGTCACCGCGAGGTTTCGTTGAATCCGCTCACGACGTTCCTGTTCCGCTCGCTCCCGACTAAGACGTTCCGATTTTCGGGCCTGGCGCTGTTTGCGCACGAGTGCCTGAAGGTCCGCTCTGGATATGCCACGTTGACGTTTGCAAACCTCCTCAGCTGGCGGTTCTAGAATTAAGGATAGGATTCAGGATTAGCTTGAAATGCTCGCCCGGTGTCATCCAAGAAGGTAATGTGCGAGATGTGAAATAATAAACTACAAACCCGAGTAAAACAATAGTCATGTGGTTTAGTAAACGACAGCAGGCCTGTGTGAAATGCGGAGTGGAAAACTAGTTGGGAACAGAGCATAGAACTATGCAAATGTCGTGATTTATAGATATTTTGCTCCAGAATGCACAAATCACGAAATATTATCGGATTTCCCTTTTGTTTCTTCAGTTATATTCAGCATAAAATATTTCAGTGTCAATCGGACACAGCTGTTCGCCGGAGGAAAAACTCACTTTGAGGTCAATAATCAATCACTCAAAAAAGTCAGATTCATGATTTCAACAGAGAACGGTCATGAAACCGAAAGTTTGAATCGAAGCTCATGTTCGGTGACGAGAGAAATCGCATTCTTGTAGATACAGAGCGTTCGGCGCGTCACTAGGACGAGCGATGAGGAAAGGGAATCGCCAAAGGTGAACTCTGATAGTACGAGAAACACTTTGGAAGTCTAAGTCGTGTTAGGCTCAGCAGACCAGACGTGTTGGTGACTATGGACATCAGGTGATAAGGGTGCGCGTTAACAGTAGCGTTCATGTATCTACTTAATTTCCGAACATTTATTTTACCCGCAATCCATATCCCTAGTCCGGTTGTGCTCTTACTTGTTCACTTCCTCTACCCATTGGTCGTGGCGAGAGTAACCCTAACCGAAAAATTAGGTTATTAGTTGTACAAACTAGGACTCCATGAAACACCCTGATTTAATGGACAGTAGGAGGGATGAACCCTAGCGCTATAAGGAACAGTTGAATACTAACAGGAAGTGGCAACCACAGTCCTGATGCCTGGAGTGGCTACCCGCATAGATCAAGAACGAATTAAGTCTGATATTATTCTGAACGACTGATTGGTTTTTAAGGGAAAAACGGTATATTAATGCTAAGTTATAACAGTAGGACACTCGTTAAGAGCGTTCTTTTACTCCAACAGTCAAGCGGGGAAATGGTGTTTTAACCTATTTGGTTCTGTGTTCACAAGACCTTTCGAGAGGATTCTTTATTTTTTTCTGATTTTCTTTTATCGAATATATATATATATATAACCAAAGGGTTACCATAGCTACAAAACGGGGCTGTGGATGTGGCAACACAACATTCCATCACTGGATCGGTGCATTCCCAAGTAGACTGCAAGCCCAATCGGAAACGTTCTCGAATTATTTTGAAAATTACAAAGCCTTTAATACAGCAACGAATTATGTAGAGTTCTTAAGAGCAATTGAACGAATTTCTGAGTAGAAACTTAGTATTAATTCATTAAAGGAGATCGTGAATTCAAAACCAATCATCATCGTCTATTCCCACTGCCCACTAAATCTTTAAGCCACATAATAGTTAAACTCAGTCGCACATTCACCGAAAATTAACTCCACACCTGCCTACATGTAATGGTTAATTAAGACTGTTTATTAACAAAAATTTTTAAGATAGCCATTATTCTTTTATTCATTTTCACTCTTCTGCTGAATATATAGCGATACAATTTTCAGGAAAGGGAAAGCGGCCAATCAGGGGGCTGCCATACATACAGCGCTTAATTAAAACAGGCTCCCATAGCAACTAGCAACCTATAAGTATTGTTGATTTGCATTTACCTAACAGTTACTTGTAAGTAGTGGTGTGTAATAATTGATATTGATGTGAACTGACTGTCCTTCAAACTTCACCTCTAAGCACATTCCTCAGCTCTTCCAGTCAACCTTACACTCGGACGCACTAGACTCGAATTTCGCTCTGATAAGAGCGGTGCATATCCACCGTCCCGTCCAAGCTTTGAACTCCGGACCCAACGTACGGAAGGTGTGCGTCACCACTGTGCTAATCAGCTCCTATTTGGGCTGAATCGAATTGACAATTCATGTTTGTCCACCTGTCATCTTCAGTGAAGATGAACCCTAATAAGAGCAAAACTCGAGTCTAGCGCTTCTGACTGTATGCCTGACTGGATGAACTGGAGACTGTGCTTGAAGTTGAAGTCCGAAGGATAGTCATCTCAAATCAATAGTCGTACTATATTTAGCTTTTTTCAATTGGAAGTGGCACCAAGATCAATAGCGAATGCTCATGATAAACGGTTCATGCGCAGATATGTAAAAGTTACTGATAGCATTTTGAGAACTACATGCTTACTAACACCGCATACTCAAATATGTGAGCTTTACTGGCCATTCTTCAACGCAAGCGGCCAGTAAGATTAAACAGACCATGAACTCGGAAGGACACAACATTCATGAATGAAAATCAGAGAAATTTTTGGCTTAACTCTTCGGAACTCGATCTGGAGATGAACGAGGAACTACCCAACCGTTTCAGTTTTGAGACGAGGCATTTGGGAAAATGAAATTACAACAGAAAACACCAATTCGGCCCAAGTGAAGGACGGATTCATAAGGTTCACACATGCGGAGAGGTCTGATGGGGTAGCTAAGCAACGGTCCTCTGGCATTTTCACATTTGTTGCATGAATTTAGCATTCAGTTAGTGTGCGCGATTAAACGTGGACTGTCCATTTACGTCCGTTGTCGTTCATTCATAAACTACCGGAAGGTAAAAATACAAACCGCAACATTTTGAACGAAGGATAATACACACTGAAACCAAAAACTTGAAAGCTTTACAAACAAAGCACACTGATGACCACTCGCATTTTCAGTAATTCTTGATCGTTCCAACACATCACAACATATAACAACAGTCCAACAGAAACGGTTTGAGATGGGAAAGAAACTTACATCACTGATTACTGGGGTTTGGTTTCATATTAAGACCGTATGCGAGATTCGCAACGATCCCACGGTTTAGACAGTGAATCCTTGAATGCTTGGGAAAAAGTATGCATTGCCGACGAGTCTCAAAACAGGAGGAAACAGCTGTCTAGTGCTCTTTGTCGGTTATCACAGCCTTCGAAATCCTCAGTATAGTCGGAGGTGGGTGTGCAGGGTTGCGACTGGTCACCCTTCCTTTGAATCTCGCGAAATGCTCCCATACGACCAAGCGTCTCAAATAGCCTCTGCTGATGAAGCCCTACTCACTGCCTTCCTCTGGCGGAGGTAATTTCTCACCAGAGAGAGAGAGAGGACAAAAAGCCAACATCCGGGGCTATAATCGGGTTGGTGGACCACTGGTAATTCACCTAGGGGAGTTGGCCAAAAACCCTGATTCCAAACCAACCATGAGGAGGCGTACGAACCACACAACTTCCTGGTTGTGGCAGTGGCCACCGGCTCTATTGGGCATCGAGATGTATTGGGCACCTTGGACGTTTGACTCTGTGCAAAAGGCGCATGGTCCGATGAACTGGACACTGGTCCCCAATGGACTGCGGTTTACACACTGCCTCGCTGCCTTGCGGGTCAGGCTTTGGTTAGCCGAAGGCTACGGTTGTGAATCCCCCAAGAAAATTCACCTGCCTTGGGCTGGACAACCTGGCAATATTCCGCCCATATGCGAATCATTGAAAGTTCTTTGTATACAGATTATTGTACCGGGATTGGTGTGGCACACAGTCTGAACTCAGACGTGTGTGGAATATACATGTACATATATGCAGTTAGTAGCATCTAACCCACTTACAAAATATCGAATCATAACATTGATTCTTCATTGGACTGGCTCTGAAAGAGCTGTCTACCCAATGGTTACCCGGTGTTGCAAACAAGGTTATTGTGACGAAAATACACTTCCTGGGTACAAGCATATGAATGAGCTGACAAAATA